GATGAGGGCACCTGGTGGGGGAGGGTCAGATGAGGGCACCTGGGTGGGGGGGTCAGATGAGGGCACCTGGGGGAGGGTCAGATGAGGGGACCTGGGAGAGGGTCAGATGAGAGCACCTGGTGGGGTCAGATGAGGGCATCTGGGGAGGCAATGAAGGCATCCTGGGCATGGAGGGAAGGGGCAAGCGGTAAGACTGTTTGCTTTTCAAAGGTGGGGATGTAAGGCCCAGGCTTGTAGCCAAGGACGGGCCAGATCTTTCAGCTGCAGGGGCCCCGTGGGGTAGCCAAGAGGCAGTCCTTGTGCCCAGGGCACGGGGCCAGCTCTTTCTCCACCCCCCATGCCCCAGGGTGCCCTCGGCCAAAGCTGCTTTCCTAAGGCTCCAACTACTCCCTTGCTCATAAACTGTCCGTAGGCTGAATCAAAGGCAGACGCCTTCCAGCCAAATTGGGCCCTGCTCTCTCCCTGATGAGCATGCCCACCGAAGGGGCAGAATGAAGGTGCTGTCCCCCCACCCCCAAGCCCCCCAGAACTGCCTCATTCTCAATGCCTCCTCAGGTCTACACGTGCAGAGAGCCTGCACGGGCGGAGGGAGCTGCCCCCCGGAAGTTCTCTAAACCAATGAGCCGTCACAGCTGCTGCGCTAGCTGTTAGAGCTACATGGACGGAACGGTCCCTGACCCCAGGACCTGACGCTCTATGAGGGACACCACTGGCTCCTCCCCTGGGCAGAGGAAGATCCCGTCAGACAGAGCAGGGGTCTGCTAAAGCCCACCCACCCCTTCTCAGCATCACAGGACACAGAGAGAGGATCCCAGAGGAAATCAAAGGTCAGTAAAGGAAAGATGTCATTCCCCCCAAAGGTCCCGGGCCTCTGAAGTCTGTCCATGGAGTCGTAAGAGCCCTGGGGCCCAGGCCCCTCCTGCATCCGTCCGTTCTAGTCCCTCAGGCGGCCAGCCCCGTGCTGCCCCTCAGCATATGAGCTCCACCAGCAAGGGAAGGCCGGAAAGCCAGAATGCTCCAGTGGATGAGAGCGGTCAGCGCTTGGTTTGGCTGCAGGCCCTGACCAGTGGCTAAAGGAGAGGTTCTGAGCTGTCCTGCAGACAGGCCAGCACCAGGAGTGAGAGACACCAGGGCAAGCCGGGCAGGATGAACGAGGGGGTGAAGGCATTAGGAAAAAAGGCAGCTGAGAAAGGAAACGCTCAGGCCACTACCTTCAAGTGCACCACGTGCTTTCCCACTCTCTCCACGACCCCTGCCACGTCTGTGCCGGGCGTGTACGGCAGAGTTGGAATCCGGTTATAGGTCCCGGAGCGAATATAGGTCTCCACTGGGTTCACCCCGCACGCGTGGACTTTGATCAGGACCTGCCGGGTGCAGAACACGTTTATCCGGTGCTGAAACACGGACATGACCACTTCACCAAACTTTGTATCAACGGTACACCAGAAGCCACTGTGTGTAGGATTAAACCACAGGCCTCACCCCATGTCCTCCAGCAAGGGGGGTGTCAAGGGTCTCTGGTCCCCAGTGTGGCCTGGGCCCCTCCCTGGTGACCAGGGGTCAAGGGTGTCTGGTCCCCAGTGTGGCCCAGGACCCTCCCCGGTGACCAGGGGTCAAGGGTCTCTGGTCCCCAGTGTGGCTCAGGCCCCTCCCCGGTGACCAGGGGTCCAGGGTCTCTGCTCCCCAGTGTGGTCCAGGCCCCTCCCCGGTGACCAGGGGTCAAGGGTCTCTGGTCCCCAGTGTGGCCCAGGCCCCTCCCCAGTGACCAGGGGTCTCTGGTCCCCAGTGTGGCCCAGGCCCCTCCCCAGTGACCAGGGGTCTCTGGTCCCCAATGTGGCCCAGGCCCCTCCCCAGTGACCAGGGGTCTCTGCTCCCCAATGCGGCCCGGGCCCCTCCCCTGTGACCAGGGGTCTCTGCTCCCCAGTGAGGCCCAGGCCCCTCCCCAGTGACCAGGGGTCTCTGCTCCCTGGGTGGCCCGGGCCCCTCCCCTGTGACCAGGGGTCTCTGCTCCCCAGTGAGGCCCAGGCCCCTCCCCAGTGACCAGGGGTCTCTGCTCCCTGGGTGGCCCGGGCCCCTCCCAGTGACCTCGAGGCTCCAGCGCCCAGCCTGGATGACCTTCTGTGTCCTACCTGATTTTCCTCTGGCTCTGGCACAGGGACATCACAGCGCAGCTTCAGCACCTGTGGCCCACCAAACTCAAAGACCCTAATAGCCCTCATCAGCTTCTGCTGGGCGGCCATGGTGCTCTGGGGGGAAAGGGCAGAAAATCCACAGTCAGACATCAGCTGCCGTGTGCGAGCCCTTCAGGGAGGGGCTGTCAATGACTCCCTTCAAGCTGAGGTGGCCATCAGCTCGCCAGGGTCTCTGTTCTGGGCCAGGGTCTCCCTTGGGAAAGTGGCCCAGCAGGGCGGGCCTGTTTGCAGGCTGTCCTACACAGGCGGCTGAGGGGATGTGCAAACATAAGGTGTCACTGAATACAATGACCCCAAGCATCCCTGCCTGCTCTCAACGCACAGGTGTGCACTGACCCCCTGACCCCCCTCCCCCCCTGCATGCCCTCCAGCCAGGGGAAAGGAGGGGAGGGTGGGGCCAGAAACCTCATCCCTCACCCCCTCCCTGTGCTCAGCTGGCCTGGCCCTCAGGACAGGGGAGAGCTCAGCTCTTCCTATGTTCCTCTCCCAATAGCCTGGGGGCGGGCTCAGGATCCCCACTTTACAGATGAGGAAACTGAGGCACAAAGCTCTCAAGTAACTTGACCAGGGTCACCCGGCTAGGAAGTATCTGAGGCCATACTCCAGGTCCAGCCCAAGCCGCCTATCTGAGGCCCTAGATGCTACCTGCCCCTCCCTGGGTCTCAGTGCCTTCTCCATGGCCTCTGTCCCTGTGGGACACATGACCCTTTCTCCAATCCTCCCCTACCCCTCCAAATCCTCCTGATCCTACATCACGTGAGAGCAGCTATCCCCATGGGCCAAGCCGCCAGTAACCCAGAGCAGACGCCTCCAGGACGCTATGCCCACCTGGGAACTGACTCCTCTTGGGAAATCAACCCACGTGAGGGAGTGACCACTGACCTGCTGAGATCCCACTAAGCCTGCGATTTTCTGGCACAGCGCCCGGAGTCCGTGGCTTCTCTGACTTTCTCCAAGCCCTTCTGTTCCCCACCAGGGACCCCACACCTCACTTTACAGCACAACCTAGGCCGGAAACGCTGACCCCATTTCACTGCTGCCCCCAGAAGGTCCCCAGAGCCCCCCAGGCACAGACCTAAGGTGACTGGGTCTGAAGGGAGAAGGAAGGGTGAAAACCGGGGCTCATCCTGTCCTGCCGTGACACCCCCATGCTTGAGGGGCTCCTGAGGGGCTCGGGGCTGCGGGGCCACCCAAGCCAACACAGAGAACTCTCCACCTGCAGAGGGTCGGCCAGGGAGAGAACGGGCACTTCCCTTCTTGGCCCCAATGGCCCTGGAGCCCGGCTCCAACGTGGCTTGTCCACTTCCTCCCTGGGTCAGTCCCACCTCTCTGGACAGACGAAGGAGCTCAGAGGCGGCTCAAGCCGGCGGCTCAAGGGTGCTCAGACACTCGCCTCTGCCCCCCAAGACACCAACAAGAGGCTGGACCTTCAGGGCACCTCCCAGGAGGAAGGGCTGAGCCCTGAAGGCAAAGGGCACTGGTCCCCACCGTGCCTTCTTCCCCAGCTTTCTCTGAGGGCACCGAGAGGGGGAAGGGGGTGGAGAAGGGCAAAGACAATGTTGATTCCCAAGGAGCCTTTGACCCCTGCCAGGAATGCAAGCCCCAGAACACATGGACCTGGAAAAGGCCAGCCACCTCATCCACCTTCTTAAGTTCACGGGCCCCAGACTCTAGAATCAGAAAATGGGTTCAAATCCCAGCTCTGCCATGTCCTACCTTTCTATTTTATAGGAACAATAACAGACAACATTTCTATAGAGTCTGCTGTGTGCCTGGCACTGTGCTAAGTGCTTTGGATTCTCACAACCACCCTGGGAGGTAGTTGCTACTACCAGCCCCATTCTACAGATAAGGAAACTGAGGCAGGCACCATTACAGTGACCTGCCCAAGGACCCAGAGCTCTAAGGCCTCTGAGGCAGCATTTGAACACAGGTCTTCTTGCCAGGCCTGGCACTGTGTGCAGGGGCACACACCTCTCCCCCCAGACCACTGCTATCCAGGCTGTCCATACTCAGAGATCCATTTGCAGTCTGGGGGTTTCTCCATTCTTTGCACGTGCTCGGCAGGCAGGAGGGCCACCATCAATGGTTATCGATCCGCCCTGCAGCCAGGGGCTCCCAGGTCTCTCTCTTACAGCCTGGTCTGGTTCCCACTTGAGTGGGCAGGGGCTGGTTCTGCTGAGTGTGGTGCCTGGCACACACTAGGTGTCTAATAAATGCTTGTGGGCTTGCGTTGGAAATAAAATAATAACGGAGAGTGTTTAAAACTGACCCCGGGCTTAGGTGGCCTTGGAGGCCCCTCCAGCTGCAGCCCACCATCCCCGTAAGGGGGGAGGGGGCCAGGCCAGCCTTCCCCCACTGTCACGTGCTCTGCTGGCCCCGGGCTGGGTGCCAGAAGGAAAGAAGAAAGTAAAAGGAGAAGGTAAGAAAGGGAAAATGGGGCAAAAGAAGGAGAGGAAGGCGTGCCTGCCCTCCTGGGGCGTACAGTCCACGTGGGGGAGGGGCGCGAAGCCGTGCTCGCCACCCCACGGCAGGCTCGGCTGGGCGCGGCAGAAGCGCCAGAAAGAGCGAGCGACAGCGCAGAGAAGCCGCGGAGGCCGCTCACCTTCCCGCGCCTGCGCCCCGGCCGCTCCCGAGGCGCTCGGGGGGGAACCTGGAGAGGGCTACACGAGGGGGTCCCGGTGCGACCTCCGAGGAAGAGGTGACGCAGCAGACTGGAAGGGCGAGAGGGCGAAGTCTGTAGCCTTGCAGCCCTGCCCCGCGGAGCTCGAGGCCCCATCCCCTGAAGCCCCGCCCCCATCAGCCCCTCCCCTCAGTGCTCCGAGGCTCCGCCCCACCAGCCCCTCCACTGGAGCTCCGAGGCCCCGCCCCGCCCCGCCCCTCCAGTCCCTCTCCTCAGGGCTCCGAAGCACCGCCCCGCCAGCCCCGCCCCCTGCTCTCTAAGGCCCCGCCCGGGATCAGCGGGCCCGCGCAGGCGTAAAAGGCCTTTTGTCCCAGGGCGGCCGCCGTCCCGTCCAACATGGCGGCGCCCATGAGGCCCGCTCGAGGCCGCCGTGGCGTCGGCGTCGGCGTCGCGTCAGCGTACGCGTCGGCGCAGGGCAGACGCCCCGACCCGGCCCGTGTCCTCATGGACCGCTCGGGCGAATTCCAGAAGTGGAAGGCGCAGAGCCTGAGCAAGGCGGACCTGAGCCGGAAGGGCAGTGTGGACGAAGACGTGGTGGAGCTCGTGCGGCTCCTGAACGGCCGGGAGCAGTTCTTCACCACAAGCTCCTGCTCCGGCCGCATCTTGCTGCTGGACGGGGTGAGTGCGCGCGCCTGCCCCTCTGCTGCCATGGAAACGGCCCGGCCCCGGGCGGGCGCGCGCTCCTTTCCCCCCACCCCCTGCCGGGAGCCTGCCCTGTTACTATGGGAACATTCTCACCCCCCCCCCCGTCGCGCGCACGTGACAGACCTGGCGTTGCCATGGCAACAGCGGGACCTGCGCACTTGCGCCCCCCACACGCTTCTTCATGCTGAGCGTTGTTGCCATGGAAACCGCGTCCTTGATTCTCTGCCCCATTTTGATGTCCCTTGATTGGACTGGCCCAGCGACTCCCCCTCCCCCCACTTCCGGTGATACTAAATAATTTACGTGGATGTAACCCTGTCCGGGAAGTGGGGGTGCGCCCAAGAGGGGGGAATCGGGCGGGCCCCCCTGCTGTGTACAGGGACGCCCAGTCTCATGGGGGAGGGGCACACGGGTCGAGGTCCTGCTGTTCGGGCCCCGGGTGACCGGGAGGACAGGACAGTGTGTGTGTGTGTGTGTGTGTGTGTGTATGAGTGTATGCATGTGTATATATGAGAGTGGGTATGTGTATGCATGCACGTACATGTGTGTGTTGTATGTGTGTGATGTGTGTATGAGTGTGTGTGTGCATGTGTATGTGTGTGTTGTATGTGTGATGTGCATGCATGTGTGAGTGTGCATGCATCTGTGCATGTATGCGTTCTGTGTTTGATGTGTGTGGTGTGCATTGAGAGCGTGTATGTGTGTGCATGCATGTATATATGTGGGTTATATGCATGTATGGTATGTGTGGTATGCATATGTGCATATATGTGAGAGCGTATGCGTGTGCATGTGTGTATATGTCTGTTGTATGTGTGTGGGGGTGTACATGCGAGAATGTGTATGTGTGTGCATGTGTGTATGTGTGTGTTGTGTGTATGGTGTGCGTGTATGTGTGTGCATGTGTGTATGTGTGTGTTATATGTGTGCATGATGTGCTTGTATGTGTGAGAGTATGTGTGTGCATGAGTGTGTATGTGTGTGTTGTATGTGTGTATGTGTATGTGTGTTGCATGTATATGATGTGCGTGTGTGAGCATGTATTTGTGTGTTGTACGTGTATATATGTGTGTTGTATATGCGTGTGGTATGTATATGTGTAAGAGTGTATTTGTATGCATGCATGTGGTGTGTATGTGTGAGTGCATGTGTGTATTGTGTGCATGCATGATGTGCATGTATTGTGTGGTGTGCATGTGTGTGAGAGTGTGCATGTGTGTGTATGTGTATTGTATGTGTCTGATGTGTGTATGTATGTGGTGTGTATATGTGAGTGTGTTGCATGTGTATATGATGTGCGTGTATGTGTGGTGTGCATGTGCACGCATGTGTGAGTGTGTATGTGTGTGTTTATGTGTATGATGTGCATGTGTGTATATGTGCATTGTATGTGTATATATGTGTGATGTGTGTGGTGTGTGTATGTGGGAGAGTATTTGTATGCATGCATATATGTGTGTGTTGTATGTGTGTCTGATGTGTGTGGTGTGCATGTGTGTGTATGTGTGAGACTGTATATGTGTGTGTTGTATGTGTGGTGTGTGTATGTGGGAGAGTATTTGTATGCATGCATATATGTGTGTGTTGTATGTGTGTCTGATGTGTGTGGTGTGCATGTGTGTGTATGTGTGAGACTGTATATGTGTGTGTTGTATGTGTGGTGTGTGTATGTGGGAGAGTATTTGTATGCATGCATATATGTGTGTGTTGTATGTGTGTCTGATGTGTGTGGTGTGCATGTGTGTGTATGTGTGAGACTGTATATGTGTGTGTTGTATGTGTGTGTGTGTGTGTGTGTGTGGTGTGCATATGTGTCCTTGCTCCATCAGGTGAGACGAAGTGCTCCGGAGTGCCCCCCGACCTCTCAGGCGGGGGACGCGCCGTCCTTTGGTCTCAGTGAACGTTGGCTGTCCCTTCTGCTCGGCAGTAGCTCGCTTCACCCGGCTGCTGGAATCCCCCCGAACGGTGCTCGGCATTATCAGAGGCTCGGCGAGCGCTCACTGATGCAGATAGCGTCTTTGGGAAGCTTTTCGCTTTGCTTCAGTGTTTCAGGTAACGAGATGCCTTCTTCCCATAGGGCATCGATGGCTGCGAAATCCAGAAGCAGAACTGTTCCTGGCTGCTGGTGACCCACCGACTTTGTGCTAAGGATGATGTGGTAAGGACCACGGACAGGGTTTAGACCGGAGGCAGCGGGAAGCTTCTTACCCACCCCCGGTGCCCTTCGGGTGAAGACAGGCCACCCTCAGAACGAGGGGTCCGGTTTTAAGTAGCCAGGGCCCGAGAGCACGCTGAAGGATTCTGGGGCACTGGGGGTCAGAGGGGGCGGATGGGGCCCCCTCTAGGGATCTCGTCCCCAAGGGATTGGAAGGAGGAGCAGGGGGGCTTGCTGAGCCTCTGGGAGTGGTCTGTTCTGGAGAATGAGAGAGCTGGGAAGTTGGAGGGGGGAGAGACAGAAAGAGGAGGAGAGGGAAGGAGAAATAGAGAGGGGAAGGGGGGGTAGGGAGAGAAGGAGGAGGGGAGGAAGAGAGATGGAGGGAGGAGGGGAAGTGGGATGGCGAGAGAGCGTGAAAGGGCAGAAGATTAGAGGGGAAATGTTTCCCCTGCTTTCCAAAAAGAAAAGAGAATGGGGTTTGCAGATGAATGATCTTGACATCAAGTGACTGGAATTTTACTGTTTGTTTTCATAAAGAAAACACGAGGGCAACTTTGGCCTACTTGAAATGGACCGTTTCATTAGCATCTGGAGGGGGAGTGCAAGTTAGGGTAGGAGGCTGGCCTTGCAGCTTGGGGCAGCTCTCTGAGGTGACAGGCTGCAGAGAGGGTGCTGGCCTGGAGAGGCAGATAGAATTTCCTCCCCTGGGAGTTCCAAGGGGAGGAAGGAAATCACAGGTCTGGGCTCGATCTCATCTCAATATCATGTATAACTCTCAACATTTTTAAAAATTATTTTGTGTCTTGTATAATAACATATGAAATATGATTGTTTAAAAAATCCCCTTCCTAGGTAACCCGAGGCTTAGATCGCTGCTCTCCAGAGTGAGCCGGTCGCGGTCTGTTTTTCTTGATGAATTCCATTCTGCCAGCGGGCCTAGTTGTGAAGTTGTCGTTCCCCCAAGGGCGTCAGGGGAGGCCACTCTGTGTCCGGCTGCCTTTGCGGCCGCGGGGATGCTGCTCTGCAGCCGGTCTCCCCAGCAGGCTCGGGGGGTGCTCAGGGAGTGCAGAGGGTGACAGAGAAGGAGGTCTGAAAGGAGGAAATGGCGATTTGGGGAAATAACGGAGGGCGCTACTGGTCTGGAAAGAGAAGGTGGGCAGAGGAGAGCCGGGTTTGGGGAGGGCGCCGGGCCCTGCCTGACCTCCTTCCCCCTCTGTGGTCCTGCTCTCTAGCTCTCAGCTCTGAAGAAAGCCCGAGGGGACGCCGTGCTGAAATTCGAGCCCTTTGTCCTTCATGTGCAGTGCCGGCAGCTGCAGGATGCCCAAGTTCTGGTAAAGCAGAGCCTCAGCCCTTCAGTGGGTGGTGGGTGCCGGTGCGGGTGCCAGTGCGGGTGTGGGTGCGGGTGCAGGTGGGGGTGCGGGTGGGTTTGGCCCAACTTGGTTATCTCTGCCTGGGAAACACCATGAAAATGGCTCGTGAAATGAGGGATTTTCTGGAATGTTTTCAAGGGTTTTTGTTTCCATTATTTGAACAGTCACAAGGGAAGCAACCTCACAGTTTTAAGCTCCTGTGTTTATCTGATTGGTCATTTTTTAATATGTTCTGTCCACACCTAGTGAGGTGCCACCCTAAGCCTAACCCTAAATGCGTGTGGACCAAGTCTGAACCGGGTGGTGTCACTATAGATGCTGGGAGCCTGGCAGATGGCGCTCAGCCCAGCACCCCCTACCCCTCCCCTCGACTGGCCTCCCCAACCTCACCTCAGATCCGTCTTCACGGCCAGCCGCGGCCTCCCTCTCTCTAACTACAGCCAACACAGAGGACTCCCGGGGGGAGGCCTCGTAGAGGTCAGGCCCGTGGGGCTTGCCCTCGACCTCCTTTCCTGAGTCCTCCCTTTAACGATAACCTGGGGTAGCTCACTAAAGTTAGCTTAGAGTCATTGAGAATTTTAGAGCCAGAGACAACGTGAGATTCCTTCATTCTGGGGGTGAGTGGGGGCCAGAATGATGATCATAATTAGGGACGATCCAGCTGCGTTCACAAAGAAGCAGCTCCGGAGAAGGAGAGGAGAGAGCTCGATGGGGGTGGGAGGGAGGAAAGAAGGAGACCTCTATGAAAGCAGCCCCGAGTTTGGGTCCTGTCTGCAATTAGCGTCATTCTGTAGAAGGGACGCGACGTGGGAGATCTGAGTTCCAATCTAGCCTCAGACATTGACTAGCTGTGTGACCCCGGACGAGTCACTCAGCCCTGTTTGCTTTGGCTTCCTCCACTCCAGAGTGGGGACACGTGGAGAAGGACGCAGCAAAGCGCCCCCCGGGGGGGTCAGCGGGGCGGCCACGCCTGGGCAAGGCGCCAACCGCCGTCTTAAGAAAAGGCTTGGTTCGGTTTTCCCTGGGTTAGAAATGGTTACTAGCCAACTTGGATCTTTCAGGGAACGATGCGGCCTAGGTCTGCATCTCCACATTTCCCAGTTTGCTGTTTCACCATTTTCCGCACAAACGCCGCGAATGCTTCTTTAAAGGAGGCCGAGGTCGGCGACTCATCCCTCGGTTGCCCCCCGCGGGTCTGATGGTCGGCCGTTGAGCGGCGCTAAGTGGAGGCGGACGGGGAGAGCGTCAAGGCCTTTTTCTCCTTTTCCCACAGCACTCGGCGGCCGTGGACTCTGGATTCAGGAACTCCGGCATTACCGTTGGAAAAAGAGGCAAGACTATGCTGGTATGGAGACTTCCCGCATCGCTGAGCTGCGTGCAGAGTGTCAGCAGATGATCCCTGAGGGCCGTCAGAGGTGGCAGGCACAGCCCCTGAGGTCCCCTCTGTGGTGGTCTGGTCATTCACAGCCACGCCTGACTCTCCCTGGCCCCATGGGGGATTTTCTTGGCAGAGATGCTGGAGGGGCTGGCCATTTCCTTCTCCAGCTCATTTTACAGATGAGGAAACTGAGGAAAGAAAGTGAAATGACTTGCCCGGGGTCACACAGCTAGGAAATGTCTGAGGCTGGATTTGAACTCGGGAAGATGAGTCTTCCTGACTCGAGGCCCCTGGCACGCTGTGCACTGTGGCACACACCCCCCCCACCCCACCCCCTGCCACCCCCTCAGGCCCTGTGCTCTGTGGCGCCCCTCAGCCGCCCCCTCAGGCCCTGTGCTCTGTGGCGCCCCTGGCTGCCCCCTCAGGCCCTACGCTCTGACATCACACCAAAGTTGGCTGCTCAGCATCTTTCAGTTGCCCCCAGTATGATGGATCCCTCCTCCTCCAGGCCTTCTCATTGCCCTCCCTTTGCCCTCTCCCTTCCACCATGTTTCCAGCCCTTCCCTGCACTACGTCTGCCTGACCGTGGGGGGGGCACTGGGCCCCGGTTCAGATATGTCTGCCTCGGGGAGAGGATGGTGAGCCCTGCCTGAGGAGGACCTTGCTGGGCCAGCTTGTTTTTTACTGCCCACTCAGACCTTCAGATCTTCTTTGCATGAACACCTCACCATGCTTTCCCCTCGGGGCGCGTACGAGGGTGGTTTTTGAAGCTTGAGGCCGCACATCCTCCCGTCCCCTCTCAGGTCTCAGCTTCTGGAGCCTGCCCGTCATGCAGCGCCCAGCGCAGGGCCCGCTCCGTGCCCCCAGGACGGAGGTGGATGTGGGAGGATGGAGGCGGATGCGGGGAGCCCGCAGCAGGCCCCATCCTGCGTGCACACCGACCCGTGCTGAATGCTGGAGGTCAAGCCGTTTGACCTTTGCCTTCACAGCCCTTTGTGTGTGTGTGTGTGTGTGTGTGTGTGTGTGTGTCACATAGTAGGTGTACATAAAGACCCCTGGAGGCACTGCTGTGCCCAGACCGAGTTCAGTTTCAGCCTCCGATGCTGGCTTGCTGGTGACCCGGGGCCTCACTTTCCTCGTCTGTGAGATGGGGAAGATAACAGGGGGGTTGTGAAGATGCAGTGAGAGAACGTAGGCAATGCGCCTGGCGCACAGTAGGCACCATACGAAGACTTGCTATCATCATCTTCGTTACTGGTCGACTCCTCCTCACTGATCCTTGGCTGATGGAGCTTGTCTCCCGGGGCTGTTGTGGGAGCAAATGGAGGATTGTATAGGAGGCATTCTGTGGGTCTCCAGGCACCGTAGAAAGGGCGGCTTTGCCAGAGCGCCGCTGAGACACCAGGCCGTGCGGGGTCATTGGTTGAGGTCAGGGAGTGCTCGCCCCCGAGGACAGAGGGTCACTGCAGGCTGGACCACTGAGGGAGCGGCCATGGTGCCCGAGGAGGGCCTTGAGCTGGCCCTTGGAGTGGGTTCAACAGAGGAGCAGAAGGAAAGTTTCCTCATGGCACCCGCCGCCCGGGGCTTCCTCGCACTCAGAGCCGAGACCTGGTTCTCAGCCTTTCGTCGCCGGCTCTGCCGTCCTTGGTCCCAGCCGCCTTTCCCAGGCAGGGGCATCCCCACAAGGCCTTGAGCCCCCCGTGCCCCCCATTTCCTAGGCTCGGCTCCAGAGGCCATCCCCCAGTGACTCGGCCCCTGGCCTGGGGCTCTGTGCTGTCTGACCCCATTATCAGCTCTTCTGCTCTAAAGGGGGCCCTGGGTGGGCCCGCGGCTTCTCCTTGGGCTGTTTCGGATCGCGGCTCCAGGAATGTAGGACTTTGGGGCGCATTAAGAAGCTCCATCAGTGTGTGCAGTGGTGTTTGCCCTCCTCTGCTCCACTTTGGGACCTGCTGTTCTGGGCCTTCCGAAAGATGTTTTGGAATCTGTCACCGCCTCTCTCTCTCTCCCCGGGGCCCGGCGCCTTTGTCCCCTCTCCTCTGCCCCCCTAGACCCCCACATCCTCCCCCTTGCACTCTGCCCGCGGCGTCCTCGGTGGCCTCCCGCCTCGGGCCTCACCACCATTCTCTTCTCCGCCGAGCCACCGGCCCTGCCTGGGTTGGGCCCCCGCTGCCACCACTGCCCCTCACTCCTCCGTCTCCCATCTCCATCTGCCCAGGCAGAGCGAGCCTTTGGAAATGGCCCAGGGTGGGGAGAAGCCTTCTTCTGTCCTTTCCTCAGCTTGGTGGGCCCAAGTCCAGGCCGGTGTTGCCGGCCCGGGGGCAGGGTCCCCTCGGGGCATTTATCCTGACCGCCTCCAAATCCCTTCTTGTTCCCAGGCTGTCCGGAGTACGCATGGCCTTGAAGTTCCATTGAGCAGCGAGGGAAGACTGATGGTGACTGAGGAATATATCGATTTCTTGTTGAAAGTAGCCAATCAGAAAATGGAAGAGAACAAGAAGAGAGTCGACAGGTATTTTCCTTGGCCCCTTCCACCCTCTCCCAAACCTTCTAGGCCATCTCTGAAGGTGAGCATCAGTCCGTTTTGCCCCTAAGGAGGATTGCAGATGGCCTTCCCTGGGGACTCAGGTAAGGGACCAGAGCCAGATGGGGGCTGTGGGAACGCCCCTGTGTCCTCCTTCCACGGCTCGTTTGGTGTCACTGACACCTGATTCTGCCCAGTTCCCTGTTTGAAGACCGGAAGGTGGTGTGGACTGATAGATAGCGAGCCCACCTGGGTGTCACAGAGATCCGAGTTCAAGGTCTGCCTCTGATGCAGATTATGAATTGTGAATGTTTGTCCCTTGTTTCCTCCCTCGGGTTCCCTAAACCAATGACAGACAGGGGGAGCGGGGGGAGGGACAAAGCTTGTTCAGGGCCAGGGTTTGACTGGGCGCCCCTTCGCTGCCATTTATTTTAGAAGGCTGGGACTGGCCCCGCATGAGGGGCAGAGCTTCGAGATGGGGGCCAGCCCTTCACCTGATAGGGAAAGCGCAGGGTTAATGGTGAAAAGACTCAGGGTCTCCCACCTTCCGGCCTCCTCTCTCTCGGGCAAGATCCGTGTCCAGTACACCAGCAAAAACCCCTCATCCGTCTGTGCACTTCCACCCAGAGGTGTGCACCATTTTAAAAATGCGATGCAGGCGCTGACGCTCAGGTTACTGGAGGGCCCAGATGTGACAGTCCTGCGCTACCTGCCCCTGAGGCCAAGGCCTGGGCATGGCCCTGACATTAACCTGCCCACCTTCTGTGAGAGAAAAGAGGAAAACCATCGTCATCACCAGGGGGGGCTTCCAGCTCCTCTCTGCTGTACCCAGATTACACCTTTGGCCTACAGAACACTGAGGCACTTTATTCTTTTGATTTGTCCTTAGTTGTGTTAGGACTGGTTGTCTCACAACGATAAAACTTTGTCTTTTATGAAAGAAGACTATGCTGCTGAACTGTCCCCATTGGACATTGCATTTTGGTTTCTCCCTTCAGTAACCATGGGCTGGCCGCGGGATGATTCAGCCCCTCTTACTCAGTCTGCCCTTGTGGCCAGCAGACAAGAAGCTGCTTGGGTCTCGGGAGGAAGGCTTTGGCCTTGGGACAGGATGAGACTGAGTGATCCAGGTGAGCACTGATGCGCTCCAGAGTCAGCTGAGCTCGCTGCTGCCAGATGGGTCAGCGCAACACGTCGGTTCAGGAGCCCACGATGAGAGAAGATTCTCTGCTGTTGCCGGTGTCTTGAGTGTGGACTTTGTGTAGGTCCTCCTGCTGGTGACTGCTTTCACTTCACCAGTTATCCCCAGGTGACAGGCGGCTTTCTGGCCTTGGCCTAATGCAGACTTCCTCTCCATGGGCCAATCGAGGTTGGCTACGTGCTGAGGAAGGTAATCGAGCCCTCTTCACCAGTTAGAAAATCAAACTCTGCTTTAGACCATGTGCTAGAAATAATTTAAAAAGTTTTAAAATTATAAATGCTATTAAGAGCTTTGCTCATCATATGACACCAGTAGAAAAAATTAGAGAAACGTAAAGAACGCTTTAAGGTACTGATTAGAAGATTACATATGAATTCTGAAAGTGTGAACAAATTAGTAGAGCTCTCTTAGGATCTGCTATGCATTCTGCCAAATGCAAAGAAAAAATAGCTCTTCAAGAGTAAAAAATAAAAACTTGATGAGGGCTGTAATCAGACATTCGGTGCTAAAATGTAGCACCGCGAGTTGAGCATTCAGATGTGCATAATAAAAAAAAAATTAAAATAATGAAGGCAAAAACCTAATGAAGAAAATCTGATTTAAACACCAAGAAATTCTTGGAGGCCCAGAAATAGAAGGCTTAGAGGAATAAAAGAAAGGCTCGAGACTTTGAATGGTGGGGAGGGGGAAAGCTTTATTGTGAACGTGCCAATGTAAGAGAATGAAGAAACTACATAAATGTGTTCATTACTAAAATGATTTCATGACTCATCTCAATGTAGGCTTGTAGGAGCTTAGGCCGAGATGTGGAGGGGGCTAAAGTTGGCATATGGTCCAATCTGGTTCCCTTTTAGAGATAAAGGAACTGGGGCTTGCCCACGATGCCACAGGTTGTAAGGGGCAGAGGCCGGATTGGAACCCACAGGGTTCTCTGACTCCAGGTGCGGGGCGCTCTGCACTAAGCCATACTGCCTTTGGTGGGATTTATAAACGTGATTGAAATGAGAAAGGAAAGGCTCCTTTTGTGACCTCTGAAGAACGCCACGCTTGGAGCATTGAAACAGCCACTTGGAACGAAGACTGACTTCACATTGCGGCCTTTTAGACCTCGTTTTAAAAAGAAACGTGCTGCCTGGATCTAATAGAGAGCCACCGGGGCACCGTAAAGATGATTAGAGGAGCAAACAAACGACTGCTGCCCCTGACCCCCAGCCGCCTCCAGGCCCATGGAGCATCTTTCTCTCTTTCACCCGTTCTTCTTGGACCTCGGACCCCTCTTCCCTCCTCATCTCCTCTGGGATCCCGTCAAAGAGAGTCCTTGATCCCTGGCCCCCAGGCCCGGCGGCGATGCGAGAGTAGTGCTTACGCTCTCATCAAGACTGATTCAGTATTCTCCAGAGTGGGAAAGAGATGACCTTTTTGTGTCCTTGGGTAATGTGGAAAAAATTATCTTGGCCTGCGGGAATTTGCATACTCCTTCCTAAGGAGAACAAAGAGGTAAATGGTGCTGGAGAGGGGGAGTCCTGTCCTTCATCCTTTTACTTTTTCTCTCATGATACAGTGTGGTACAGCTGCATCCTTCTCACGTATACAGTACACAAAGCTACGCCATGAGCCCAGGCGTCTGATATTAGTGCGGATCTAAAATGGAACCCACGATTTACACCCATTTGTTCATGCCCCCATTTCAGAAGCTAAGACGCTGTTACAGTGCAGCCCTGCTCTGTCGCGGATGCCAGCTTCCCTTCACAAAGACGAGTCCTTCCCCAGCCTGGCCATCACACCCCCTCGCACCCAGCTGAGCCCGAGGATGCCCCGAAAGCCTCTTGCTGCCCAAAGCCGGCCTCGGGGCTCCTGGCTTCATTCCAGCCACCAGCTCCCGTTGGGGAAGCAGGCCTGCGGGGGACGAGTGGGAAAGCATCATTGCCAGCCTGTGTTTGGGCTTCGCTTCCGTCGCACAAGCGGTTTGCCCCTAGGAGGACTTTGAGGAGGACCGGAAGGCAGGAGAGACGGGCTCCGTGAGAGCCGAGCATCCTTCCTCCTTGAGGACCGCTCGTGTGAACGGCTTCTGTCTTTGCCTTCCAGCTGGGGAGCTTTTCTGCTGCACTTTCCCGTTGATTCTAGGTCTGCCCCCCCCCCCCCAGCGCGCACACTTTAAGCCCTTTAAGGAGAAGATTAATGTCAATTACATGTCACCTCTTAATTGCATTTATCCCAGGTGATTGACGAGAGAGTTTGCAGAGCGTTCATCCTCTCTGGGTGGGTCTTGATAGAAAGCATTTGTAAGCGTCTCATACAGCTTTCATTATCTAGGGATGGGCAATAATATTTAATACAGGTAATCCAAAAACATGGCGCCCTTTCAGGTTGTGATTCTAGGCTTGCTTTCTGTTTGATTTCTCCTGAGCCACTTTCAAAGTTCAGAGGGTGTGGCCAACCACATGGAAATGATGGACGTGCTCTTGCCCAAAGGAGATCTCTGAGTAACAGGCCCTGACGTTGGGCAGGTGACCTCTGTGGTGATTCTGTGGTGTGAGATGAACAGAAGAGACAGCTGCCTCTGAGACAGCATGGTACCTGTGCCCTAGTGACGGTGCGTTTTCTAGAAAGCAAGAAAGAAAAGAGTGAAGGGTGCCCTCAGGAAACTTGTCTCCTCTCTGGTCAATGGAAGGTTCTCTGGGGATGGCAGACTCCCAACCCAACTCCCGAGACCATTTCTTGACCAAAGTCAAGGAATTTTCAATTGATTTTAGAGTCAAAGCCGGGGTGGGGGTGGGGGAGGGGTATATTTCTTTACATCCCATTTTCTAGGTGTAAATAATGGGAAACAGGCATTTTTGTGTTTGCCTTCTAGGTGCATACCTGAGAAATGTCGAGTGCTCAGCGTTTATGTTTGTCCAGTCCCAGCAACATAGCCCAATCTTTGTCAGCTGCCAGCATATCTTTTATTTGTTACTCTTCCTGACCATCCCGACATACAAGGCTGATGAGGCTTATTTCTTTCTTTTTTTTTTTTGTGAGGCAGTCGCGGTTAAGTGACTTGCCTAAGGTCACACAGCTAGTAAGTGTGAAGTGTTTGGTCTGAGGTCGGATTTGAACTCAGGTCCTCCTGACTTCAGGGCCGGTGCTTTATCCACTGCTCCACCTAGCTGCCCCTCTGATGCTTATTTCTTTGCAGGTTTTACAGCTGCCTCCAGCTGGCCTTGGAGAGAGAAGAGGCCAGTGGTCTGCGTCCTGAGACAAACAAGATGGCTCGTCCCGTGTACACTCGCAGGAGAAAGAGGAAAACAGAAAAAACACGCGGCCGACGTAATTCAGCAGAGAAACAGAAAGACTTGGGAAGCGATGAGGATAATGCAGAAATCAGCCTCAGTTTTTTCCCTGAAAATTATTAACATTTGTCTTCAAAATGCCTTTGCGGGAAGACGTTTTGTGGCCCCTTAAATTATTGCTCTTTGTAAGAGTCATTTCTTTTGCTCAGTTCTGAAATCAATTCATAAAAGCAGCATTTACCGGTTACACTTCAGATTTTGAATGAAATCTGCTTTGTAAAAATGGACATTTTGTAAACAGCATTGCACAGTGTCAGTGTGAAGCAGCTCTAGGCGAAGCCTCTCTCGATCTTTGGACCAGTCTTTGTACACCATGGTGTGAAATCCCTCCCCCCACCTCCTGCCCTCCCCAATAGCCTGAGCTTATCTCTGTCATCCCAGACCCAAACACAGAACTCCAGAGGCAGCCTGCCCAGGCCCAGGAGAGGACAAGAGGATGGTCCCCTTCTTTGTGTTAGACACCGTGAGTCTCTTAAGGCAGCTTTTGATGGCACAAGCTTGTCTGCTGCCATGTCGTTCCATAGACTCCTGTCAAACTTGTCGCTATTAAAACACCCAGATCTTTTTGTGATTCACTATTGTTGAGGCTTCCTTTCCCCAGGTTATGAAATCAGTTTTATTAACCTCGGTGCATGAGTTTACATTGACCCCATTTACTTAAATTGTGTCTTTCTAGACTCTTCCTCTTGTAGGAGCGCTCCAGGAAGCACCTGGTCTTTTCATGTTGGCCTTGAGCACCCTGTTGGGTCTGGCCCCTGTACCAGCTCTGGATCCTGCCCACACCATTGCCACCTTTTACCTCTCTCTATTTTGTCCACGAGCTAATGGGAGAGAGAGGGATGTAGTCAAAGGCTTCACATGAGCCAAAGTAAACTGCATCCCCAGCGTCGACCGGAGGTCTTCCCGAAAGGTAAGTGAGACGCCCGGAACCCGGCGTTCTGTTGGGAGCCATGCTGACATTCTTTGTGTTTTCCACCTTCACTTGCTGTGTGCTCACACACTGTCCTCTTAATGATGTGTTTGTTAATTCTGCCCGGAGTCCAGTCCAGCCCAGTGGACTGTAATTTATAAACTCATCACTTCTTTTTTTAAAAAAATATAAAGACATTTCCCCTTCTCTGGTCCTTCGGCATGTGAGAGGACAGGAAGAGAGGGAAGGAGAAAGTGGGGGACAGATAGACCTCTGGGATATCCTGAGAGACAAATGACTGAGGCTCTGCAGAATTGCAGATCAGAGAAGGGGGTTACCCTCCCCCTACCTGGCCATGAGGGACAGGGTTCCACCAGAGCCATCCATGAGGAAAAGCCCCAGGATCCAGAAGAATGAGCGGAGGGTGTTTCCCAGAGAATGTCAGCCAAGAACCAGGTTCAGGATGCTGTGCAGGGTTTGCCCAGCGTGCTGCGGCTTCATGCCTTGGTACCAACACGTGTGATGCGTGGAGTGACTACATGTGTGTGTGCTGGCCTCCTTCAAAGCCAGAGAGACACAGGGACACAACAGAGTGGACCGACCCTGGAGTCAGCGAGGGCTGAGTTCAAGCCCTGCCTCAGAGACCCTGGGCACTGACCTCCATTGGTGCAGGGCGTTTCCATGCTGGAAAGTCTCTTGTGCCAATAAAGTCGCGGGTCTGGACCAGAAACAGAAACATTAATGGAACACTTGCTTTTCAGACTGGCAAACCATGAGAAACAGACTTTGAAACTTGAAATTTGCTTTTCACTTCTTCAGAAACCCTGGATTTCAACAGCAAAGCCTGGACTGCCACGCCCTGACGAGCCGCTGTGTCACTAAACCATTCGCACGCCTGTGGCCCGGTGCGTCCCTGGGTGACCCCACGTCGCCCCTCATCATCAACCTCAGCTCAGAGGCTTCCCGGGTCGGCCTGGGCTCGGCTGTCCTGCCCCTGGTGAATTCAGGGGCGTGTCTGCATCCCCCTGAGGCCGCCGGCTTTGTCCTTTGTCCTCAACAGCCCTAATTGCGCCAACTGAAAACTCTTTAAAACTAAGTTCTGCATGCGGGCTCCTTATTCCTGAAACCGTAAGAAAGTTCACTTCTCACTTTGGGGAAAAAAAAAAAAACAACAAAAAACAACTATTCATCCCTTTTGTTTCTGACATCAGCCATTTCCAATATAACACTCTCCCAAGTTGAGTCCTCCCTTGTACCAGGAGGTAGAGAAAGAAATAAGCATTTGTTATTTGCCTACTATATACCATGCATTGTAAAGCAGTTAGTGCTTTACAATTATTGTCTCATTGGATGCTCATAACAGCCCTGGGAGGTGGGTGAGTGCTATTATTGTCCCCATTTTACAAACGAGGCAACTGAGGCAGTCAGAGGTGAAGTGACTTGCCCAGGGTCACACAGCCAGTAAGTATCTGAGGTCAGATTTGAACTTGGGTCTTCTTGACTCTGGGCCTAGGGATCTGAGCACTCTGGCACCCCCTGGCAGTTCCTCTTACAAAGAAAGAATAGTTAAGCAAAACCAGCTGCATCTGGCAGTGTATAGAGCATCCCAAACCCATAGGCCCCCGCCTCTCCAACAAATGAAGACTTGGGTTTTGGCTTTGTGTCTCTTTCTCAGGCTTCATTTCCATTATTCCTCCCTCACAGATCATTTTCTTGTCCTGCTCACGTCCCTGCACATTTGTTCTCCCGCATCCTAAGCTCACGTTCTCTCTGACAGGGTTTCACAAGTCCAGTCAGCACCCTTAGGAGATCCGGGCTGGGATGGCGGGCGCTGATGACTACAGCTGAGTCTCAGCCCTGTTGTCCAGGCCCAAGGTTCTCCAGCTTTGGTCTTGGGGCTCTTCCGTGTTCTGAAGTTGAGGAGCCCCCTTACTTTTGTTTATTTGGACCCTAACCATCGACATTTATTGAATCAGAAGTTACAGCGTCTCAGTATCATCATCAGTGTAGTTTGGACTGCCCTGAAAAGGACCCAGGGCCCACCAGGGTCTCCAGACCTGGCTCTGAGAATCGTTGGTTTGGCATCAGAAATTAGTGAATCCTGTAAACACCCCCAGTTTTGCGGAACCAGTGTGTGTGGAAACATCTGAGTGATTCCCAGGTCACTCAGATTAACGCTGGTGCTTGGTTCCCTCGTGGAGGTGGAGCCTCATTCTGGCGTCACAGTTAGTTGAGGGAGATGGTGGTTTGAGCAGAGCCATTCAGCACTGGAGAAGTTAAAATTCCCGTCTGTTCTAATTTGGAAGTTAATAGGAAAAATCTCTTTGTTTTCTGAGATGATCTTGATTGAAAAAGGATAGAACCAGTGGTAACTTTTACAGTGGTTTTTCTCATTTCCCAACAGATGAACTAATAACTTCACCAATATTGGTTTGCTGTCTGATACTTCACTGCCTTTCTTCACTTGACTCAGTCAACAAGGGTTTATTAAGTGCCCACTGTGTGTCAGGCACTACGCTAAGTGCTGGGGATACAAAGAGAGGCAAAAGACAAGTCTCTGCCCTTGAAGGACTCGATCTAACCATTAAAAACATGCCGATGAACAATTTTCTTAGCTAAGCCAACAAAGGCAATTCAATAGCAAACAGGCTGTAGGGGTACGAACAAAAATATAACATGTCCCATCCTTACATAGTGTATGGGGCCAGTGCCAGAGGCCTTGGGCCCCTTTGACAGTCTGATGAATCCTACGGACCCTTCTGAGGACCATGCTTCCAAATGCCTAAATAAAACATAGCGTTACGTAGTAAAGACAGTTAACGCAATACCAGGCCTCAGATTGCAAAAAGCAGCAATTGCCAAAACATTTGGTACTGGCTAAAAAATATAGCCTACTGTTCAATAAACCGAAAGATCAAGTTGACTAAAATAGGAACTCACTATTTAACAAAAACTACTGGGAAAACTGGAAAACAGTCTGGCAAGAATTGGGTATAGACCAGCCCTTCATACCATGTACCAAGATGAACCCCAAATGAATACATGACAGAAATTAGAGGAGCAAGGGGAAAATGACCTTTCAGATGTATGGTTAGGGGAAAAGGCCCAACAAGGAATGGAGAAAATCACAGAAGAAAAGTGGACAATTTTGATTATGTACAATTTTAAAAGGTTTTGTACAAACAAAACCAATGCAGCTAAAATCAGGAAGGAAACAATTCACTGGGGAAAAATAGCAAGTTTCACTGTTAAGAGTCTTATTTCCAAGATATATAAGAAACTGATAAAAGGCTAAAAGAGTAAGAGTCATTCTCCAACTGATAGATGGGCAAAGAGTATAAATAAGCATGTACTTTTCTAAGGAAAGATACAAATTATCAATAGCCGTATGAAAAAATACTCTAAATTACTACTAATAAGAGACATGCCAGTCAGAGCACCTCTGAGGTTCCACCTCATACCTGTGAGATGGGCAAAGTTGAATAAAGAGGAAAAGCAGACATTAATGCGTTGTTAGTAGAGCTGTGAAATGGCATAGCCATTGTGGAAAGCACTTGGGAACTATGCCCAACAAACTCTGCTCTGTGCATGCACTTTGACCCATATATATAACTACCAAGCCTGTGTCTTGATGAGATCAAAGAAAGAAGAAAATGACCCATGTATCCAAATACATACATACGTTAATATATATGTAAATATATATAAAATCTCTTTTAAGTAGCAAAGAACTTGAAGCGAAGGGGGTGC